TGTCAGCACCTTGTAAAAAATGTACATACAATGTAGTTTTATCCAAAGAATACCTCTAAGTTTCTCTGTAGGCCTGTTGATCTGTTAACACGGTGATATTCCCATTGGCCAGTGCTGTCCATAGTGTACCGTATGTAATGTACCTCGTATGGTATGTGTGGTTTGATATAGGCCTACTTTATCATTGGAACACAAGTTAAATTCAGATATAGTAAGATTCGAGATTCAAGATTATTAAATGCTACTTGAGCCATCGAGGGAAATTCCGCAATCACAAATTCACAATCACATAATATAACAATCAAAATAACAAAATAGAAACGCCATCTTCTTAAGCAAGTTAAATTAGTAAACTTGAAATTAAGAGCTGACATAATGTCTGAAGGAGTTATATTAGCGGGCCAGGTTGTAAGCGAGACTAAGGGCATATGGCAAGAATATAGTACATATGTGAACTTAACTTGTGTTCCAATGCTTATTCTGTTTTTGTTAGTTTTCTTTATTAGTTTTCATTGTTAGATACGGTATTTCATAATTCTGTTCCTTTTTATGTAAAGCGCATAAAAAATGTATTATGTGCTGTATAAGACTATCCACTGTAGTATTATTATTATTATTATTATTATTATTATTATTATTATTATTATTATTATTATTGTTATTATTATTATTATTATTATTAATTGTTGTTATTATTATTATTATTATTGTTAGGCCTATTTGGTATTATTATTATCTTTAAGAATCTTAATATACTGTACCAACTTGTAGACCAAATGAATTTATCTGTTAGCATACCGTATATATAGACGAAGACATTAGGTAACACATTCAACATTTTATTTTGCACTACAAACTAGCATCTGATCATTGAGTTTGTGCCCTCATAGAACAGCCTGTAGTGCAAATAAAATGCTTGCAACCTAGTGTGTCTTTGATTACTTAATTGATATAAATGAAGTATATATTTTTACTGTATTGTTTAACTGGCTCCATCTCTTGCTATATGTGTACATAAAGATGCTTAATAGATCCACTGAGTTGTTCACGACCAATCTAGTGCCTATATAACCTATCTCAGAAGCTCTACATTTCCAGGAATAGAAGAAATGATGTCGTCAACATGCGAGACTGCTTTAGTAAAATCATATTGCGGAACGCGTTATTGCATACGATTGCGTCAATATTATCGAAATGCGACGCATTATAATTTTAGAGGCTTACCATAAATACTGAAAAATCTTCGGGCCTACAATACTTGTTTGTAGCGTTCCAAATGTTTACACGGATGCACGTTACTTCCAATAATGTAAATAATATCCTGTCTTTGTTATCTTCTAATAAAAGGGAACAATATGATACGTTTTGTTGTGTAATTTGTGTTCACCTTGCATTATGTGTATTTTAGTCGAGAATTTTTTCCATCGAAGCCTTTCTTTGTTTATCAATTTAGTGCTAAAGAAATGATTTTGAAATATAGCCCATACTTTGATGTTTAATATAGCTTCTATCGATCGATACACCACATTAGGTTTATGTAGATGTCAAAAATGAGTGACGTACGTTAATTAGCGTTCACAGAGGATGCAGGTACCATTTGGTTGAAGACTAAATCTAGCAGCCATGATATTTAAATATCATGAATAATCAATTACCAGTCCAGAAAAAATCCCAAGGCATTAGAGCCGGCTTACGAACTAGCAGGACAAGAAAATGGTGATGTTTTAAAGTGACTTGTATTATGTAATTTGTGTATTTTAAGAGAGTATTGAAGCAGGGGAAGTGCATGGTAAGAGATTATGTAATTGCATTATCTCGATCAGCGTGTAAGGCCTAGGTCCTTGGTTCTTAATGGTTGGCCCGCTAGGCAATTTCATTTGGCGCTTGAAGAAAAACAAAATAATGAAAACAAATATTTAAAACATGAATATATTTCGATAAATACATTTTCAAATAAGTAAAGTCAAAAATGCAATCTGAGTGGTTTGAAAATGAGCAAGATGATACAGTATACGAGGCCATAATAGCGCCAAAATTGAAATGGTAGGCCTACTGTACCTTTCGTGGTCCTATTCTTCACTGTGTGCTTCAAACAAGCCATAAGCACACTATGACTTAGAGTGTTACCCCACTCAAATCTAAAATTGAACCCTGTAAACAGAACTCCTAAGATTGGTATTCTTATTAGCTCTACTACATTTAACAGCAGGCCCGGAGAGGAAGTAAAAGGTTTATCAAAGGCATGTTTAAGGATTGCAGAGTCCCGATGCGTGATTTGAGACTCATGGTAGAAGAAGTTCATTGTTAAATCATTGAGGTAAACACAACAAATTTAGTTTATTTTGCAATACGTCTACGGTATAATAGTAATAATAATAATAATAATAATAATAATAATAATAATAATAATAATAATAATAATAATAATAATAATAATAATAATAATAATAATAATAATCAGTATTTATACAGCGCCTAATATTGATATCTAGGCGCTGGGGTATGGGCTTTATGGCCGATAACATTCGTATTAAGTCTATACTTATTTTACATGATAATAAACAGCTAGTGAACCAATGGACAGTGCTTATAAAAATACATTTCGATTGTCCTACAAATAATTCATGTTATAAAGGCCGCTAAGTTTTGTCTAGTGTTCTGTTGGTGTATCAAGACAGCGCTCATGAAACTACATTTCGCTAGTCCTACATGCGTACTGTGTTCTTGCGGAAAACTTCGTATTTTGACTGACGACTGTTAAACTGATGACAGGTCCACACAGAAATTTCCCGCTACCCAGTTGGGTCAAGACCGCTCGTGTAGGCCTACGGTACAAAAAGTAGCCCCATATAATTTTAAATTGCAAATAGACCTATCTTAGCGGAAAGAGTTCCACCCAGATGTATAACGATTGCTTTAACTCGGCTGAGATTATCTTTTGGCCCGTCATATATCAACTCTAAAAATAATTTGGCGCTTTTTCGAAGAAATTAATTAAGAAGGTCATACTAATTACATAATTTGGCCCTTCGAAGAAATTAATTAGGCTACCTTCAACAACCGTCAGCAAACGTCGTTGACGGTAATTAGTATGCGTGTACATTAATACTAATTACCGTCAACAAGCGTTGGCAATTATAGTATTAATGACCGTTACATTAGTATTGCTGTACACACATGCTAATCACCGTCATTTGGGTATCATTTTGTGTATATCATTATATCAATATCATTATTAACCTATTTGCCTATTATGTAGGCCATATATGTGCATATAATAATAATAATAATAATAATAATAATTATTATTATTATTATTATTATCATGTGACTCTCAGAAAATTCCCCCCTCCCCGGTTTTCCGCCAAAAAATCACAATTCGACGGCGACAAAAGAAATGTATGTATTTTCTACATAAGCCTTAGTAGACTATCTACATGTAAAATCGATTAAATAAGCCTCTGAATCTCCTAAATTGTCATATATTTAGGGGGGCTCCGTCCCTTGAACCACTTTCGAAACATTTCAATCGACACCCGACCACGCTCACTTTGCTCTCATTGGAGACCCCAAAAAATTGTACCTTGACGCCCCACCCCCCACCCCCCCCCGGATTTCAGACGCTGCGGACGTCGCCACTGATTTATTATTATTATTATTATTATTATTATTATTATTATTATTATTATTATTATTATTATTATTATTATTATTATTATTATTATTATTATTATATTATTATTATTATTATTATTTATCATTAATATTAGTATCATTATAAATATTATTATTAATCTATTTGCCTATTCCCTGTGTATATCACTGGACGCTAATTGATGACGGTTGTTGACTTTAATTAGTATGACCGAATTAAGAACCAGGGGCCTAGGTTATGGGGTGTAATTTGTTGTCAATACATGTTCGCTGGAGTCTGTGATATCTCATGGACTCTAGTAAATTTTGAATTTCATTTTTATTATTAAATGTAATATGACGAAGCAATTTCTTGTACTGTATTTTTGCTGTATCAAGACCAAAAAGGTATGTACAGTGTCTCTTATTGTCTAAGTGTGACGTTGAGGGGGACATTGATTGTTAAAAATACTCCTGAAAGTTGGTAATGGACACCTTGTGTAGACTAAACATGGAGTCAAGAGTCAGACACCATTTTCAGAATAAATGTTACTGTATCAATAATATATGTAGTTTAGTTAGTTGTCATTTTTTTGGTTTCTTTATTTTTTATTTATTTTTCTTTTTACATTCTCTATGTTTAAGCTCGATTTAGTGTTAAATAGGCCTACATGTTAAAATGTAAATACAGATAAATAGATAAGTAAATAAGAACATGACAAGAAAGCATTGCATTAAAAGTGTAATATAATATAGTATATAATCTATAAGATAATAGAATCGACTTGCAAGTACAATATGATTCTACTTTCAGCTTGTATTAAGGACTACCTCAAAGTGTCATGTATCACTCACTGTTGTGTATTGGCAGCTTGTACTAAACTTGATATAGGCCTATATTTCAGAGTACGAACGTGTACCGCCCTCTGTACGTTTTGATTGCCTACATTAGTTGAAAGTGCTAATATAATATTAAATACCGAGTATCCCGGATGTTGCGTTGTATCCATCATGAAATCAAGGAGAAAATCTTGTTCGCATATTGTCGACAACTTGAGATGCAGATGATGCACAACCTCTCTTCAGTGCGAAAGTTCTTCTGTCATGCGTCAGACATTTGAAATCGAAAATGAATATTTGATCGCAAATTACTGATGGATTTGCTCTATAAAGCGGGTTATTCAATATACGTTCGCGGATATGGAATAGGAAAATCAGATTGATAATTTTTCGTCGAAAAAACGATTTATTTCAACTTGTTACTTAGTTGTTGAATACGTAGCACGTACATGATTATTAGCATTCGTTAGTAACACACTGAAAAAGATGGCGTCATCAGATACAGTACCAAATTCATCAGAGATCTATATTAGTAAGACTACTTTGAACGGCAACACTGACGATCATTCCCGAAATTCAGCGGTGGTCACAGCTGCGGCGCACTGGAAAAATAACCGTCTGCAGAGTATCTCTCTCCCGCCAGACACTAGTCTGCTACAAAATGAAGTCCTCAAGGAAGAGTCCACTTCTGAACCGTCTGATTACCAAGGATCTAGAAGGAACTCTAAAGCGTCTTTGATCAGAGGAACTTTTCCGCCGGGTGCCGTCGATACCGATGCCCCCGCTCAAAATGTCCAAAAGACGTCGGGGACATCCGAGATTCTTAAGTACCAGATGCAAGCGGTTAACATGATCGGGCAGGCGATGTCCCCGCAGACTGGGGAGCATGTAGATAACATAAAAACACAAAACAGTGATTCCCTCCTCTTCACCATTCCGTATATGGATGTAAAACTCGCTTATATTTGCCTTCTATTGAACATCGTATTTCCAGGATCAGGTAAGGTTATAGTTAACAATTGTGTGAAAACAAATTAAAAATTTAAGATTGTAATTGTTGTAGTCCAGTAAAATTTAGGGAAATTTTCAAAAGTAGCATGCGACATACAAGTTGACCAGACCTGTGTACATTTCGAGAGCATAGCTGCGCAACCCTACCGTTTATTATCAATACTTTTACAGATATAAATTGAAGACTGCATACGAATTATTAAACCAATGATATCTAAAACTGATATTTACTCCAAGCCGTAAATATCTTATCAAACTAAGCGTCAATATTATTTTAATATAGGCCACTAGTATATCAGATAATCGAAAAACATCTAAACATTAAGATTTGTATTTAAAAACAGCCGGTAGACGACATGGGTTCTCCCATGAACAGAAAAATCCAAAAACGTGTGAAGTTCGATCCACGTGACTATCATCAGGTGATTTTGATATATCGGTGTGATATGACATCACCATGACCATATACCTTATGGGCAAATCAGAGATATTACATAAAATTTGATATTGTGGACCCCAATATTAGGCCTACACCCGACGATACGTCTGTGACAACAGAGCCATATCTATGATTGCCGATGGGGTTAAGTTACGGGTTGTACAATAGAACTGGGCTCTGGGCAGCGGTGGAGCTAGAAATTTTGGTCCGAAGTGTCCGACAGAGGAGTCCGAACCAAGGCGACGACAAAGCTTCGGTCGTCGGCCCGGAATAAAAAAAAATCCCTGTTAGGGTTCATGGAGAGAGTTTTTTAATGGCTTAATTTGGTCCTAAATGTGCTTTTAGACCACAACATTAGGGATTGGCAATCAAAATAGCGCTATTTTGATAAGCAAATTATTTTTTTTAAATTTTTGATCCGACAATCTATATAGTCGCTCGTCGGACGATAAGGGGTCCAGGCCTGTCCGACGGATGGGGACATTCCCCCTCCCCTCCCCTGCTGGCGTCACCACTGCCATGGGGAGGTCACCAGAAGAATCCAGAGTCAAGGGACAAGACCAGTTGAATCGTGGGCTTTATTTTATCTTGTTCGTACTCTGTGAAAATTATACTGTATGACTCTATTCTATTTTCATTGATTTTGATGATCTGAAAAAGTAATAAATTACTGGAAACGTACTTGAGAGCCCCTCCCCCACCTTCCCGGACACGTCGGGCCCGTTGCAAGAGGAGTTGATTAATACAAATATAGGGATATCACTATGATTGAACTAGGTTTGCCTTTAATCTGCATATTGTATCCATTTTTGGGTTGTTATTTTTCTACTTACATCAGATATGAATACCTAAGAAAATATAATCATCATCAATGATGACATAATTTATGTCGAAATATTGAATCCCAACACGATGGCGTGTATTTCAATACTTGGAGTATGTATTATACTTTCTTATCTGAGATTAGTCAGTGGACCTTTTGGTATATGAATACCTGATATACATATTCTACCTACATGACCTCCCAATATTGCCATTATATTGTTCACCGACATTTAGATATAATGATTTGCATAAGATTGGCGACATTGTCTCGTTGCCAAGCCGAAGAACCTAGTTAATAAGTATGCTTCAGTTTCATATTAATGGTTATTATTATCAAGCGTGGTTGCTATGGTAGAACGTTATTTCAGGTCCAACCTCCAACTGTGGTTGGTTTGTATTTGATGTAGTATTCGGTTAGTACTCTGTTTCTCAATAATTTAAGCTTATTAATGATAAGTACCAAAACCCGACTTGGAAGGCTTTTTATTGCTCAAACGAAGATGCAACGGTTTAGCATCCTATGGCTGTGGTATCCTCACGAGGTCGCATATATTCTAATAATGAAATAATGATTATATAATAGTGATTTTTATAATAATAATTAAAATAATAAACGATGTTAATAATGATTTAATATTAATAATATAAAGGTCTACATGCATATATTTATTAATCTCTTTTATTTATTTATAATTGGAAAGTAGCAACAAGTGTTATTAATATTATATATATATATATATATATATATATATATATATATATATTGTCAGGGTGATAATACTACAGTATATATGATAATGGTGATGGCGATGATGATTATACGATTATACTTAGGATGATGATGATGGTAAATATAATGAATATGATGATGATGATGATATTGATGACGATTATGATGGTGAGGATGAAGGTGAGGATGATGATGATTTTTATGGTGATGATGGTGGTCAAGATAATGATGATGATAACAATAATAAAGATGATAATTTTTTTCAGTCATAACATTACATACTTTATAACATATTGCTATCGACTGCTTCTGTTCTGTACGCTTCTCATCAAGAAACATTTAAATCAAACTAAGCCGTTTAGTGTTTTCTTCCACCAACAATTTGCCACATTAACTGCCGGCTCATGATATAGAATTACTCATTCTTCATTTTCACAATTTACATTGAAGTAGACAGACCTGATATGTAAACACAAGCGTATATTCATGCTGATGATGAAAATGAAATTGCTTCCCATTGTGTAGGCCTAGACTGATTCATTCCTGCCAGGGGTGGCGCCAGTGGAAGGGGCCCATGGCTGCCTAACCCCCGGCCCCACCCCGATCCGGTCAGAGAGAGACACACTTCGTAGGGCTGAAGAGAAAATTATGTATCTTGTACATATTAATATAGACTCTAACATCGACTGAATAAACAGCAACTCCGGACCACGCCCATTTGCGTTCTCGTCGGGGAGTCGGCTGATGGTTATTACTGTAACACCATTGACTATACTTTATTCACTGTCGAATGTGATTCTGATAATGCTTCGTGTTCCAATAATTTACACAGTGCAGCTATTCGATAAATGCTAAAATTCTTTGAATTTTGTAAACATAATATCTTTATGATAATGACGTTTCAATAAAACTGGAATCAATAGGTGTATTTCTGATATGCTCCTGTCTTTTTACGTGCACCAAGTGTGTGTGTGTGTGTATA